AATTCAGGAAGTAGTGGAGCTGTGCATAGAGCCTATTCTATTCTTTTTCATCCGTATGTCTTGATGATAATTTTGTGTTATTGTTTCTGTAATTGTTAGACAGCATGAATTCTGCTCATTTAAGTTTGTTTTACAAATGGTAATATTGCCTAAAAATAATGATGAATATTGTTGTTGAAACAGTACTCAGTTTAGTCAGACAGTGTTGAAAATTTGTCCATAAACAAAAACAGAAAACAACGAAAAGTTTCCATCAGGTAAATATATATTTATGTATTTTAGTCTGCTGACAGTTCCTCATTTTATACTACCTCCATTTCTTTGTTCGGCTGAAGGTAAATAATGCTCTTTATGTTTTTTTTTTTTAAGCTCTCTCCCCATCTTCTGTCCTGCTTTATCACGCTCAGTGTAAACATATTAGTTAGCTCGATTCATTATTTTAGCCTCTACTTGCTCTTCTGTGATGTAAATCTAGACATATATATAGGTCAATGAAAATTGGACCCCTGCAGACTGTTTATACTTTTTAAAATAAACTTTTTAAATAAAAGAATATATACAAAAAAATAGAACATTTGTCCATTTTAAAATCTAAAGTGTTTTTGAAGTAGAGAACAGCAATCGCTCAGTTTGGTATATAGACAATTTCCTGATTCACATATTTTATAAAACACATAAACTGACCGTTTGTTTTTTCTTTCTTTTATGGCTTAATGAGAGAAGTGGGCTCAAGGCTGACCTTAAACCTGAGTCTGATGCCATTTTCAAGCACATATCAAGGTGCTTGTTCATGAGCCTGGATCGATATCTATTTTTGAATATGTTCATGGTGGATAATCCTACATCATAGCAGTAGGTTGAGCCAAACATATTCAAAATGTGCAGGGTTATCTCTGAGCACGCCATTGAACTTTTTTGTCACCATTTCACTGCAGTTCTTCCAGCAGTCTGCACTTTCTTTCACATTTTCTCATCATCGTTACCGACCGCCCAGCTTGCCACAGCGTTGCCTGCTGTGTCTAAAAGTAGCTAGCAGCAACAGCCCAGACTGACACAGCTCATTGGCTAATATGCATCACGTGTAGCTTGGTCCCTGAGGGCTTTACTGTACAAACAGGAGAAGTGGCGCAAGTGAAATTAGACACTCCCGTCGGACAACATGCAGTTATTTATGAATGTTTTAAATCAAGTTGGGTCCGGATTAGTCAGCAGGTGGGTTCCAGACCCTAATCCGCTCATCCGTGACCTATGATCTATAACTTGGCCACCTCAAGGTGTTTTCTTCTTCTGCTCTTTAAACAAGCAGTTAATGCCGCAGCACACTGTTGCCACCTCTGAAGTTGGAGTGAAAGCTGTTGACGCCTGACTTGAAAGCTGAGGTGCAGAGGAGCACAAAAATACTCTGAATATGAGTGTGTGTGAGGAAGTATGTCAAGTCTTTGGGTCTATCTCTGCCTCTTTATCTGTTTGTCAGCATGGCCAAAGGCTATGCCATGATTGGCTGTCTGCGCCGCTGCTGCATTTGCTCTTGGACTTCAATGAGGGCCATGTGCCATGGATGCTGACTCACAATGAAGCAGAGGGGAAGAGCGTACGGCTATTACTGCTTGTATTTTGAAGCCCAGAAATAAAAAGGAGAGTGGGGGCAGATGCAGATTTGTGTGTGTATGTCTTTCTGTGTCTCTCTGCGAGGGGTTTTCTGCTTTAGAGACAGACGAGTGTAAGGCAGTCTGTAGGTACCCCAGCTACAAAAATAGGTCACACTGGTGCACCTGCCAGTCCTTTTCTCCCTTGCTGTCTCTTTCATTTTCTTTATCTCTCTCCCCCTGAGCCATCTGCATCCTACTGTCTAATCATAGGTCCTCTTTGACTTTCTCTCCATTGTCTTTGCATTTCACAGAGCTCTTTCTGTCTCACCACAACCCTCAGCTGTTGTTGCCATGACTCCATTGCACTGTGCTGGAATGCACACTGAAATTAATTGTTAACAATCCAGTGGGTTACTCTGGCTCAGTGTGTGGATTGTACAGCATATAGCCTTTACCTAAATGCTATAAATCAATAGTTGGTCAAGTGTCCCTGAATTAGAAGGATGCCCTTGGTTCTGCCTGCAGTTATATATAGATCCATGCTAGATTATAAAATGAGCTCCATAAACCTGTTAGCAGGGGGGAGAGTGAATAGCTAATTTTCCCTCTCACCCTTGTGCTATTTTAAATCTTTTTACCGTAGGGTATGAGATTAGATAATAACATCCACGCTATTATGAAGGTATGATTGCTATGCTACAATGTCCATTGCTTATTGCGAAGTGCTTCTAGCTTAAAAACAGCTTTTGTGCTGCACAGTAATTAATTGCATCAGTTCAGCTCAGCTTGGAAAACTAATTTGTGAGCGTTCTCTGCAGTGCCTGGTGTCATATCACTCTAGAGGCCAGGTTGGGTTGAATTCAGGTGCAAATTAAATGAGTCTTCAGACATGACACACTGAGTTTCTATTTTCGATATGTGTCTAATTTAATTTCTCTAGGCTGAACAGGAGATCTACTGTATGGTTTGTCGTCTTATCTAAATCCAAGGACAGTATTCTAAAAAAATTTTCTTCTACAAAAGTTTGCTGGCCTGTCATAAGTCTAATGGCTCTTCCGTTCTGTCTTCCTCCCTCCCTCTCTTAGCTAAGAATAGGCATCCACACCGGCTCAGTACTGGCAGGCGTAGTCGGGGTTAAAATGCCACGATATTGCCTGTTTGGGAACAACGTGACTCTAGCCAGCAAGTTTGAATCAGGAAGCCATCCAAGGTGCATCAATGTTAGTCCAACCACCTACCAGTAAGTACCTGCATATTCATATCTAGAGTTATAATAGAAAAAAGTAGGCCCGACATTGTTGTTTAAATTTGATATAATTATTTCAGGGTAGATTATGAAGAACATTTTAGAGCCCAGCTGTTACTTGATGCTATATATGTTAGTGCTTGACAAGGATGTGTTAAAATCCCCTAAATTAATTTGTTCCAGTAGCATAATATCGCTAAGAAACTAAATAAAATATGTTGCTTTTTCATACATCAATATAGTGGGGAGGAATTTCCAAAGTTAAATAATACATGTTTTTATATGCTGGTTGCACACATATTTGCAGCTTGCTGTTAATAATTCTTTTTACCCATTTCTACCAAGTATAGCAGCACCTGGGTTTTCTGCCATAACATAGGGAGGGATATTTGACTGTTACAAAAGCTCTCTCCTCAACCTATCCTATCATTCCAATAAGGAAGCTCCTAGTCGGAAGCACGGAATTTTCCACTCGCCTGATTTTTTTTAATCCTTTATGTCATAAAGAATAAAATCTTTTCACATCATCCAGTCTTCATTTATGTCATAGGTCTTGACCAACAACCAGTTAATTATTTTTCCATTATTTTAGAAGAGGCCATTAGTGGTATTTAAAATCTCCTAGTGTTTTAAAAAGTTCATGCCATGAATTTAAACAAAGCTTCAGAAACTTCTGTTCTATAGAATTGACCTAGATTAATGGTTGATTAATTAATTCAGTGTTTATGATGCAATTTGTGTTATTTATCAAGATCAGTTTGGAGGATATATTATCATCCTTAATATCAAATGAACAATTCAGCTACAGATTCTGATACTAATGGAATCCTAATGTTAATATATTAGTACTTAAACTCATATATATATTTTCACATATTTAGGGACAATTAATCAAAGTTTTGAACAACAAAAAAATGAAAACACCACAACTACATCAATCGCTAAAGATGATGCAGTTACGTATTTAAATTAATGAATGAACATTATGTAATCTTATGAATTGAATAATATCTGGTGGTTCTTTTGACTTCACCAGACACTTGGGGAAATCCCTTATGGGAGGGTTTCCCATTAATCTGATTATTATCTTATTTAAGAAAGAGAGAAAAGCTTTGAACTTGTCTCTTTTAAATGTTGTTCTTTTCAGGTTTTAGATCAGCAGGGTAACCCAGAATTATTTACACCTCATATCGAATTGGACAACTAAGTCAATCATTGTCTCGTAATCAGTTTCACTGCAAGCAGGGAAAAGGGATGCTTTGTCAGGAACCCTGGCTCATAGAACAAAGGACTGGCCTGGTTTACTCTGAGGGACTAGTAGGAAGTTAGAATATATGTTCATTTGAGAGGGCAAAGAAAAGTCTGTTCGGAGTGTTGTTTGGCGCAGACTAGCAAGCAGGTTTTCCAAGGACAATCCCACTAACCTGAGGTCTGGAAAGCTTCGCACACATCTACTATCTGTCCAATGTCGTGTTGGGAAGTTGTGGGCCAGTAATGTTGAAACAGAAACTTTCCTAAAAGTATTCAGAAAATCTTTTAATCTCCTTATTCCTTCAAAGTATCACTTTAATATATATATATATATATATATATATAAAAGGTAAAATATAATTTAAGTGATCAAGTGTATTTTTTTATGACACTGCGGAAGTTTCACATCATTAAATAAAATATCTCATGGCCTTGTTTTAAGTTCCAATACTTTTTTATTCAAAGTAGAAAGATCTAAACATGATATGCAGAACCTGACTTGATCTTAAAGTTTTCAGCACCATAGCAGCTAAAAAGCCTGGATATGGTCAGACAGAAGCTGTTCAGTTTTTCTGAAGCAAGGTTTCATCTCCTGTTAATGTGGTTTTAAACTATTGCTGTGACTGTAGAACTTGCCAGGAGAACAATTATTTTCTTGTAAAGCATCTTGCCTAATTGAATTGTAAGTTCTGTTGTCCATCTTATTTTAGGTGCTATCTAAGAGAAAAGCTTCAGCCATAATTACTTTAACTGAATCCATTAAGCTTCTCTTTAAGGAAAAAAGATTGGCTTTTACAAAATGTTATTATATTAGCTAGTATTGCAACTACTATAAAAGCAAATTTTATTTTACACCCTGTAATGTTCTTTTATTAACAGATTGTTGAAAGACGACCGTTCTTTTTCATTCATCCCTCGCTCTCGGCTGGAGCTCCCGGACAATTTTCCCAAAGAGATTCCAGGGACATGTTACTTCCTGGAGGCAGGGACTTCCCACAGCCATGCCTCACTTACCAGCTCTCGCTCGGCTCCTCCGGCCTCTATGAGGAAGGTCTCCTACAGCATCGGGACAATGTTTCTAAGAGAGACCAGTTTGTAGATTCATACACAGGTGTTCAAAATGTGAGGGACTGAACTTAAACCCCAGAAACATACCGGAAACCAGACACTCCGATTTGTGGTTATGCAAATGTGTCATGTTAAAAGTGGGATTTACACCTGAAATGACAAATACTTTCATCGTAGATGAAAGAGAACAACTGTTCCCATCTCCTTCTCTGAGCAGTGGGGATTTTCTTCAAAGGACTAAAGGAACACTGGTCCTGTATCTATCCTCCAAGAGGTGGACTGATATAATCAAATATTGGAGAAACCTGCGGACCAAGCTGGACGTCTCAGCTACTGCTCTGGTGTCTCGCTCTCTCTTAAGCAGCCCACATTCAAATCTGTGTCCGGATTGACAGAACTGGGTTAAAACTGACAGAGACCGCACTTCATGACAACTGTTGCCCTCATTCGCCATGTGCAAACAGAACAAATACCCCGTTTCAGTTTTAAGGTGGGTGCTGAAGAATGAAATTTGTATGACTTTCTGTCCATCATATTCTAATGTCCAAGACAAACGTCTCATGGAAAACAGTTCAACTCTCCCCGTCCTTCCTTTGCATCTGTCTTTAAGTCATGTTATGCTTTACTGATTATAAGAGCTGCGGCTCAAACCTGTGACATTGGGTCGGCTTGATGGGATTTAAAAGAGGAAACAATGAGATCTGTTTTAAACAGATCATTTCAACATTTCAACAACAAATACCAACCAGAATAATACTAACCCAAATTCACAGCCTTTTTTTTGTGACACCCAGCAAACTTAAGTAGAATATACTCTAATATAGGGGAGTGCTAGTAACAAAAATGAGAATAGATCACTGAAGTTACTGTTTGGCTTTTTTATTTTTTTTTTTACTTGTAATTCTTTGTTTTTAGCATATTTCATGATTTGACCTCTTATTGATAAGTTCATTTGTTTGCATTTACCAGCTTTTGCTTTCTTTTTTTTTTTTTTTTTTTTGCCTATCAGCATTTTGACCTACAAGTAGCATGTCTAAAAGCTTTGCTTTTTAGGACGGACCTACACATGTTTCTGCAGTTTGCTTTGGATGACATCAATGCAGACAGATGTTCATGAGCAGGCATATTCCTGGCTTCATCTTTTCAGGTCCACATGATTAACGGATTGATGTGTGTTGTAGTTTGTTGAGCTGGAAAATTAGAAATGTGATTTTCATCTAATTGTGCTGTTCAGAAACACTGATATAAAAGTCCTGCATTCACTTAGGCCTGTGCAAATTTCACCAATATACTAAACTCAAAATTTCTCATACCCCTCTCAGATTTAGATCTTGAGTTATTTTTTTTAGGTCATTTTCATGACATCCAGTTCTCTGAAAAATGTTTTCTTGCCATCACCCTGATCTTTAGCTGCTTTCAACGATTCTTTACCATATTTTAACTAGGAAGCAAATCCTTGATTTACACTGCTTGTGTCTCCATTACGCACTTTGTTTCAGGGCTGTTTTACATCAGAAATGCTCTAATTTGCTCTGATCCTTAACGAAGGCCGGAGGTTCTTCTAGAAGCATGCATGATAAAGCCGATGATACATGCTGAAGCCAGACTGAAAAACATTTGCTAGATGGAGGTAAACACAACAGTTAAACCTGCTTTACTGTTTCTTTTTTGTTCCTGCATCAAGATATTTACACTGTTGAGTAGCTTACACGAAGAAGCTCATTTTGCTTATTTTGGCGCATTAAATGTGTTAATCATATGCAAAGTTGTATGTTACACAATTAGACGTATAGATATTTGAATAAATGACTATATTATTAGTATAGTAAGGCCTTTGAGAAAGTCTAGCCTTTGGGGAATTATTTTGAAAATACAGTTGGTTTCTTTGGTAGATTGTTGTGAACAATAAAAAAAATGACTTTACACCTAAATCTGCCAGGGGTGTGAAGAATTTGGACTTTATTAAAGATAGAAATCCATTATGCCTAATTTCCAAGATCAAGGATGACTTGCTAAATAAAAAAAATACAGATCCAAATAAGGTCATTTTAAATCGACCTTCATAAAGTAGAAATGTTTGTTTTGAAGAGATGGTTTTATCAGTATCTGACAGACTTTAATCAATTATTATAATCATATCTTTTGTAATTGAATCCAGTATCAGAAGTGTAAACATTGGTTAAAGAAAGAGAGAAAAGTGTCATATTTCTATTGTAATAAGAAGTACACGAACATTCTTATCATCACTGCTTATTTTAATACATGTTCAGAAATGATAGCAGCTGCCTTTGCTTAAACAACAGCTTCCTATGTCCTTATTTACTTCTTATCATAAAGAAAGCTTTGAGTTTTTTTCTCTTTATAATTCATTACCAACTTGAAGTCCTTTCTATAACCGTACTTCTCCATAAATGGATTGGAAGAAAAGTATCCTAACATCTTGAAAAATTATGTAGCAGGACTTTACTAAATAAAATGTGCCAATTTCTTTCAAAGATGCCACCAGCACAGATAAGTCATGATTTCTTCAGTAACAGTGTGGTCTGTGTGTGTCATTCAGAAAGATCGTTGACCAGGTGTAAGATATTTTTTTAACTGAAACATGCCATGTAAAAAAAAATCAACTACTGTATTTTTAATGCAAAAAATATTGTGAATACAAAAAAACTCCCACCTCCCTTTGTTTCTTTTTATGAGTAGTGTACAATGTAACACCAGCCTAAAAATGCAATATTTTATATAGGGAGAAATAATGAAAAACAAAAGTATACTTTTAACATACCTGAGGAGTGAATTATTGTCATTGTGTGTATATTTAAATAAATGAGTAAATAAACTGATGAATATAGATTTATTAAAGAGACGTTAAAGAAAAAAACAAGAATACAGCAGGTCAAATTAGATACATTTTGATTTTAAAAAAAAAGGTAATTTTTTCGTCTGAGATTTCTTTCAGATTTTAGGTCAGCGTCCTAACATCTCATCAGTGTGTTTTATCTGCAGCATTTGGCTTACTATATTCTAATTCCTTTTTCATCAAATCATGTTGAAATACAGACGCTATCTTTGGATTAAACATTAACACAGCTTTAGGTAAGAAGGATTGGACTCTAAGGGGACATTGTTGTTCTTAAATGAACACACAGCCTTTTTTGTAAAGAGGAGGGAAATGGGAAGAGGTTAGGTTTAAAAAACATTCATTTTTGAATATACTAGTTATATACACCCTTATGTTGTATATGAAGAAACAAAAATCTTTCTTTTCCCACATCTGACTTTAATTCAGGTTAAAACATCCCTGTTTTACGTCAAATAAATGGGTAAATAGTAAATGGGTTTTAAATAAAAGGTTTTAAATGAACCAGGATTGGTATGTTTTCAAACTACTTGGAAACGTCGATTTGATAAAAATCTCATGGCTACACCTGAGGGTGCCACACTTATCCGTTCAAACTGTTTTTTAAAATTCTAATAGCATTGGAATGTCCAAACTCAGTGGGCCCTTGAAAGCACCATCCCAAGTGTAAAGTACGGAGATGGCAGCATCATGTTTTGTGGGTGTTTTCACAAAAGAGAAAACACTGTGTAAAATAATCATGAGATTGTAAATATTTCATTAAAAAATCTAAATATGAGCCAGAAACTGAAGTTTTGGTAGCAAATGCATTTTTCAAAGGAACAATTACTCCAATCAAGCTGATAAATCTGGAACAAAGTGGGCTGAGGACCAAATTCAAGCAAACTCTTGCAAGATGCTTGTAAAATATTTCCCAAAACATTTGTGAATAAACTTGTGAATGTGAGGAAGGTTAGAATAAAAACTAGAAAATGTTTTCTCATCACTATAAACAAGACACATTTTTGGTAATCCTATTTAACCTGTAACAGAAAAGGGAACGTCAGAGTTCATATCAGAAAGAAAGGGGAAAAAGAAGATTTGTTTTTATGGTATTGTTATTATTGCCATATATTTATTCACAGTGACATTTCCACATCATTCCACATCATTCTATAAGTGCCAAATGGTTAATGGTTTTAGTTTATATTTGCCCATATGAGCAATCCTTGAAAGATCTAAAAAAAGGACATGATTTTGTTAATAAAATTAAGTAAAGGTATTTAAACAAGTATATTTTTTCACAACCATCATGTTATCCAAGCTTAATGAAAAAAATTATTGAAATTATTTTATAAATTATTTGTACAAAAACTAATATTGAAAAAATAAATAAGATGAAAAATGTTCTCTACATTAGTAATAATAGCATTTACAAAAGGGTATCAGCTCAAAACTAGTGCATTTGTTAGTCAGCGAATCTGAAAACAAGCAGCAAGTATTCGTGTCCAGTGTGCATTCATTATTTTTAGCTGCTTAGCATCAAAGTGGTAGCATGTTTAGTGTGGAATCGGTAGTCACATTTAAACAGAATACAAAAGGTTTAAACAGGATTCTGTTCGATAACAACACAGTATAAAACTGTAACAGTTAAAAATAGACAAAAATGATTGCATGCTCATGGTAATAACAGAGAACCAGCACCTGCAGCACCCACGTGAAGCAATAATCATTGTATGCAGAGAGACCAGAAACGGTTTAAAAGAAAAAATAATGGTGACATTTTAAAGCAGCCTGTGGACGTAGATTAACATACTACAGGGTGATATTCCATGGTTAACAATCCATACATGCATTTCTATATAACTAATGAAACTCTTGTAGCTTATATGTATTGAAGGTGTTGTTTTCACTGAGCTTCAGAGCCTAAGTTCTATGTCTGGGCTAAATTAAGCAGATTACGCCAGCATTACACCCACACAACTGGTGTCCAATTCTCCAGTCCAGTCTCTGTTTCTTGGATAATATCAGATATTTAGAGAATCCTGCGACTTGCTGTAGCGTTGAAATCGTTCTGCAGGTGCTGTTTCTCTGCAGTCATGGGGTATTGCACGGCAGTGAATATTCACATATGTAAGAGGGCTTTGCTGTTTGGTACATTAAAGCCAAAGAAATCAGGGTTTTATTTTTCAACTTTTTTTTTTTAATAAGGTCAAACTTACAGTTTGCTGAGCCTTGTGAATATTGATTCGGGTTTAATTAAGCATCTTAATGCCGAACCACTTCCAATATAAGACTCACAAAAAATGCATTCCTTTTGTTTATTTGTCTTTTCTGGGTCAGCTAGAAAATGTACTCCAGTGTTTGTGCCATCTGCAGTCAAACTGGCTCTCCCCAAACACACATAAAGGTTCTGTACCATAACTTTATGTCTTTTTTATTATTATAATAAATAAAATATTCTCTTCTTTTTCATGGTTTAGTCATTGTTATATCTCAGCACATCTGCTTCCTGTTGTATTGATAAAAAGGTTTTCTACCCTAACCAACTGAATGTGATTCATTGAAGTTAAAATTAAGTTATATGTATACGTTTTATTTCTGAATGTTTCAAAGTGGTCTATATCTTTCTGCCACGAACAGCACGATCTCTAATGAGTCACTTTGCAATAAGTCTGGGTTGATTAGAAACCAATATCAGTTTGATCAATGACAGCCTGCTAAAGGAAGCATGACTCGTACCTTTTTTAAATGGAGGGGAAAAATAATCTAGGCATGTCCCTTCTGTTGGGAATTCCTTTTCTGAAATAAGTATTTTTAATAACAGATTTTGCATTATTTTTTATTTTTAAATGATTATTTCCTCTTTTGGTTCTGTTTCAAGGAATATCTGGACATAAACTGTGTTGGACCCTGTTGTTGGCATCAGGTGTTTGCTGTATTTTAGGGTGCTCAATCACAGCTGTTAATATCTGACTAATGTTTAAGGCACATCTTCTGTCTTACATACTGTAAATAAAAAAGTAAAAAGAAAAACACCAAGTATCTTTACAATAAAAAAAAGCCTCAGCTGCTTAACTGAGTGACTGAATTGGCAACAGTAAAACCTAAAACCGCAGTGCTGTTGTTTTTGAAAATAGTCAAGAGACTACTTAAATGCAATATTTACAGTTTTTTGAATGGCTTTAAAATTCTCTCCCCTTTTTAGGGCAGAATGGGAGGCCGATATTTTAGTTTTCAGGCTACTTCACCTCCATATTAAGGCAACATACTCCATATACATTCATGTAAAGAAGCCATCCAGACTGTAAAAGTCTATATTTTCTTTATCAAATTGCAAAATACCTGCCCACTGCTTGTGAACAAGAGATGGTTCTGATTTGCTCTTTCAGTCTGGCTGTAGGTGTGGACTTTGAGAAAAGCAGCAATAAGGAATTCAAGCATCTGTCTGTAAAGTTTTTTTTTTTAATAACATAGTACATTCTAATTACTTGTTAGTGAAACATATGTTCATTTTTTTTTTTCAAACTTGGAAATATCTTTGATAATGCAAGTATTGAAGTCAACATTACGTTTTGTTGTGTATTGGTGTGTGTGTGTGTGTATGTGGGTACAGCTGACATAGGTTTCCTTCCTTCCTCTGACATATCATCCAGTCATCCTTTTGTTACCTCCTTACCCTCTGTATGCCAAAGTCTGTAGTGGAAGGTAAAGTAAACTTACTTGATTACTGTACTTAAAGGGGTCATAGAATTATTATATAGGGTATTTGGTGCTGGACCTTAAGGTCTCTGAATAGGGTGTCTAATATTGGTTGGGCTGAATATGGCATACTTGCTGTTCTTTGAGCCCTAATCCAAGCCTGGCTGAATTAGGGACCCTCTTTAAAAAAAAAAAAAAAAAAATAGATTTACTTTAATTACGTAATTTTTGGTGGGGTAACTTTCACCTCACTACATTTCAAAGTCAAATATTATTCTTTCTACTCCACTATATTTTGAGGAAACTACTAGTCACTCGTTCCTTGCTGTTTTTCTTTCTTGAAAGGCTATTTCAAAATGCCATCTAGCAGCCCTTATGACTGAATTTGGATACCACTGTATTACAGATTTGCATGACATTTCACAAATCTTATTTGGAGATAAAACATTTTATAGAGCAGAATGGGAGGCAGATATTTAGCTTTAAGGGTGTTTTCAGATAAAACATTTTTATTAAGGCGTTAGTTGTTGCCATGTGGCCAAGTGGCTATTCCATACTGAAAGTGTAAGGAGAATCAGGACGCTCCTGTTTTGTTTTTGGTTTGTTCTTAAATAAGACAAAATAATCCTTATTTTTGTGGCATTTTTATGCTGAAGGTCTTTACAGGTGGTGCAGAATGTTTTAGCAGAGGTGTTCTACTCATTGATACATCAGGTGGTTTTGAGTGTTACAAGGTTCTTTAAAAGTACTCGGAAAATTAAACAGAGATATACTAAAACTGAAAAAATTAATTTTTATTTTTTAATATTTGAATACTTTTAATAGTACTTTAAAATGCTGAAATATTTTCAAAAGTGAGTACATCAATACTTTTAACTTGTGTAGATGTTTCACCGAGTAACTTTTAGTTGTATTTGAGTAAAATTTGACTATGAGTATCAATACTTTTACTCAAGAACTACAGTTGAGTACTTCATCCACCTCTGGCCAAAGCACTTCACCAATTGGCAAACTGTTTTGGCATGGATCATTTTCATCAGACAGGATTTTGGATGAGCATCATTGTCAGATCTGCAGAGGGAAATCAGAAACAATCTCTGAAGGGATGTGAGAGGGGCTCTTTATGTACTTAACACACTTGGCCCGTTTTATTAGCCAAATGAAACACCCCTGTATTATGGGAGTGCAGCAGTATTAACATTTAGGCTGTGGGTTTACATGATGCTCTTTCCTTTATTGACCAGCAGTGATATCTTCATTGGAGCTGCTGTGGGAGATCTTTTCTGAAACGGAAAGTAAAACAAAGTGTTTAGGTTTGTTCGATGTTAAATTTAATAAATAATGAAGAATAAAATACAAAGCTTCTTCTGCCTGTTATCAGATGTTGTATTCATTCGTGTAATTTTTTCATTACATGCAATTTGGATCCAAAAGGCTGTGAAAATCTTTTTAACAGTACATTTTGGTAACTATTAAATCAGAACAAAAAACATTTCAACTTCTTTCCCTGAAACGATAAAAATCATCAGTAATAATGTAAATCAGAGGAAGTGAAAAGTCCTAAAAATGAGGTTAGGCAGCCGCGACTCAGCTGCATGAGGTCAGCTGCTTTCCCCTGCAAAGTCTATGCCTCTCTTGCTGCCCCTCCCTGCTGGATTTCTTCACAATTTATACTGGGGGGACTTAGCTGGGGACCTCCCCGGGCCATCCTGTAGGTCTTGGCTGGATCTTGTAGAACCTCATCATCTGCAAACAACAGAGATTAAATTCCATCGGTCCCAAAACCAGACTCCCTCCAGCCCTTGGCTGTTTCTAGGAATCCTGTCTACGAGTTATAACCAGGACTGGTTACTGCTGAAGTCCAACATGCCCAGGGAACAGGATGATTTGTTGCCACCAATGTAAACCAGACTCTTGCTCCACTTGTACAGTAAACAGTGTTGTATAAAATACTGAAATGTCAGGGTCAAGTATAAGTATAAGAACCTCTCCAAAATATGACTTTGATAAAAGTCCAAGTCAGTGACTGAAAAGTTGCTTGAGTTAAAGTCTTAAAGTATCTGAAATGTTTTGTACTTAAGTATGAAAATTACTGTAAAAATAGATGTACTCAAGTAATATAATGAAAAGTATAAGTAAAAAGTAAAACAAGGCAAATGCAGTTTGAATGACATTTTTTATAACTTGGTAAACTTAGAATGTCATATTCAGTTAAAATAATATACACAACTAGGGGTGTAAATCACACCCATCATGGCGATTTGATTCAGTATCGATTTCCTGACCCAGCGATTCTTTTATTTTAAATACTCAAGAATACATGATCTTCTTTTTCTTTCACCACGTCTGTCTTGCCTACGTCTTCTTTCAACTCCGCTATCTCCGCCATGTTTGTCTTGCCTACTGTTTATGCGAGTGTCTGCTTGCAAGAGTAAAGAGGGTAGTGGCTAAAGGAAGCGAGGTAAGAGGGCAAAATAGGTTTAGCGCCACCACAGCACAGGAGTCAGTTTTACATCCAGGAGCAAATGCATAAAAATAGACCGGAGGAAAGAAAAAAAACATGAATTGATACTCTTGCGGATGTGTCGATGCATCGGATCGTCGGCTGTTGGATCGATGCATCGATAGAAAACAATTATTATTTACACCCCTATGCACAACCAAGTGCAGGATAAATTTAGACCAAGTTTAGACAGAAAATACAACCTTTTTGTAAGCCTTCAGTTTTCCTTCTTTTAGTAAGGTCAGGGGTGTATAGTAAGAACATGGTAAAGTGATAAACCAGGCTTAGTTAACCTACAGGAAGTGGTAAACCTGCTAATAGATACACCTGCAGGAATCCTTTAGTTAACAAAATTAGGACACCTGGCTGTGCTACTAGATGCTTTACCTATACCACAAGGTTAACTTAACCTGCTTTACTACTGAACCAGCTTTTTAGTATACCTACAGGCTTACACAGAAAATACATAGTTTTTGTAAGCCTTCACTTTTTCCTTCAAGTAAGGTCATTGTGTTTAAATAAGGCCACCGCCATGGATTCTGATCACCAACTGCCAACTGGTGGTTCCACTGTAGCCGAGTCCGACGTCGTTGCAGTCGCTGTTGTTGTCTCCATCTCCTCTTCCATGTGGCTGCTGACAGGTGTATTCTATTGGTGGTGATGAACAAGCCCAGCCAAGTCCCAACTTTGTTGCAGTCAATCAGTAGGTGGGTCAAAACACTTGCATTTCTCTCTCTGTCTCACTTTTTCTTTGTAACGAATAACTAAACCAAACATTGAAAATGTATCTGAGTAAAAGTATGCAATTAAATGAAGTAAAAGTGAAATTTATCAAAATATTTTATACTCAAGGGAAGTATGAAGTACACCAAAATACACTTAAGTACAGTAGTGAAGTATATTTACTTCGTTACTATACAACACTGAAAGTGACCCCAAATAAAGGAGTCCATGTACTCTGACTATATACTCCTGAAGTCCCCCCAAGAGGGTACCATCAGGAATGGTGTTAAATATGTTCCCAAAATATTACAATTTAACTATATTGCCAGAAAACTACAAATTATGACCAATAACATAACATGGAGATCTGAAATTAACTGTTTGACATCTAGAAAGGAAAAAAATCTATATTACAGATATCAGAAATATCAAAAAGGCCTGCCAAAGTCAGTTCTAATCACCATAACGTCAACAGAGGGGAAATATTTTATTACTTGAACGATAGGGGTTCAGTGTATCTATTTAGGTGTAATTACCTATCAGCAGGTTAAGATGACGTATAAAAACGTTATTCAAACAGGTAGGACCTGTGCATCATCTCATCGGGTTCCTCCTCATTTTGATTCGGTCTTCGGATTATCAGTCAATACTAAGTGGCTGTCTGACTATGCAATTGCTTTATGTAAAGCTGCAATCACACATCAATTTTTTCTCACTCATATTGAGGTCTGTTAAATCCATGTTAATAAAGACTGAGTAACGCTGCTAATGTGAGGACAGATAAGGTCGTGGATGTATGTGATTTATTGTCAGGTGAAAAGTTAGCACTCATAAAGATAACTTTCTGAATACAAAGGACATCTTTATGCAGTCTGACAACACTCTCCCTACAAATATTTATTCTCTGTGAATTAATAGAGCTCATTCTTTAATTGGATCCTCATCAATGATTTTATTTTTAATGTTCACACAACACTACAACAAAACTCTGCTGACTAAATCAGGAAATGAAACACTGTGATTGACTTGAAGGAGGGCGGAGACCTAAGTACAATTTACTGAGGAGGGGCAAGGCAAGAGAATCCAAACAAATTAAAGACACAACACACAAGGGGAATAGGAACACTGGATGGTCTACTCAAATCAATGGCTTTTAATAATC